TCATCTTTATGATTCACATCAATGGCTCCAGAAGCCATTACGCGGACAGGATTCGTCCCTGCAAACAGCCTCATGAGATCAAAGAAGTGGCAGCATTTCTCTACCAGGGTACCCCCAGTGTTACAGTTGAATCGGTTCCAATTGTTGACCTATAAAAAACTTTCAATTCAGAACAACATTCACTGCACAGACTGCCTGGAATTGTGGTTTAATCTACCTTAACTAGAAATGGGAACCGATGTTCCCGGATAGCCACCATCTTGACTCGTCCTAAATTTCCACCCTTCACTATATCTATCAGTTTAGCCACAGGTGGCATATATCTATACTCTAGCCCAACTTGTAATAGTATATCCGGCCTCATTTTAGCAGCTTCTACGACCTGTAATCAAAATTTGAGGTTGCCACACAATCAGACACTAAAACTGACAAGCGTAAGTATAAGAACCTATCTTATGTAACATTAAGAAGCTGAATTAAACTATTACATGATAAGTGATGACATATTTACCATAGGCCACTTTTTGGTACGGATTAAAATTTTGATCTTAATCTAAGCCAAAGTCAATAATTAATTTTAACCGGGATTCACAACTTTTCAACCACACATTTTACCTACTTATATCAAAATCTACTAAAAATCTGATTTTAATTCCCACAAAACGGGGTAGATCCATTGAGTATGCATTGTAGAACACAAATGATCATTATGAGGGATTTTCATAAGGTTGTGTTTTTTTATAATAATCGAACTCTAGGATTTTTATAGTCTGGAAGAAATACTCAGAAAATACGATATTTTGAACAAACCTTTCTGCAATCTGCAACTGTTGTACACAGAGGTTTCTCCACCAAAACATGATGAGACTTTGGGTGACTGATGATATCCATTAAGATTTCGCAGTGAGTCATGTTTGGACTTGAAACAACCAATACATCACAAAGCCCACTATCCAGCATCTCCTTGTGCCCAGAAAAAACCTTCAAAAATTTTCCAAACATGTAAATTTTTCTATACCATAAAAGATTATGCCACTTTGTCAGAAAGATTTTGACAGGTGCAATAACAGAAGTATAGGTGGCGTCAACTGATAGTGATTTAAATATTTCAATGATAGATATAAGCCTTTCTGTCAACTTATCTGATATCGTAGCATGATTGTACCATAAATTGAACAAGTTTTAGCTCATTGAAAAGTGAATTTTTTTTCCCATGTTCTTTTGTACCTTAAGAGGCCAATTGAATGATTTTGCCAGATTCTTGGCTTGTTCTTGGGAAGGCAAATGGGGATCAGCTACGGCGACCACAGCTACACCTTCAGTCCTCATATGGTAGAGATTGATGACATGCTCTCTTCCCATCATCCCAACACCGATGATTCCATACTTGACAATATCAGCCATTAGATTGATCAGAGTAGAGAAGAGTTAATGGTTATACACTGTATAGCCGGTTATGATGATAATGATAATGAAGCAAAGTTGGAAATTCAATTTAAAACACTCATTACATTGTATAATTCACTGCAAAATGGCATCTTTTGGACTATGAATATTCAACTACCCAAATATTGCAATCTGTCTCTTATTTTCAGTATTTTAATTTCTGAAATGTATCTAGACAGGTTTTGCGTGTTTGTGAAGACAGAAGAAGATAAAAAGAAGAAACGAAACATGAAGTTTATCTACATGCACCATATTAGTCAATTCAACCCGATTGAGTCGAGGGCCCCACTTGTTTACCATGATGTTGCCAATAATTAAGGTGAATTGCACATAACTATTTCCATGAAAATTGTCAATTAAATATATTTAATTGATTTAATTTTTGACTTTAAAAATATTATACTTTTTCTAATTTTTATTGATGGGTAGATGAAAGAGAAAGAGAATTACTTGAAAAATAAAAACTTACTCCTTAGAAAATATTTTTCATGTTTTCAAGAAAAATATGGACATATGACCAAAAGTAAGAAAATATTTTCGGTGAAAAAAATCAATCAAACAGCACACAAGTAAAAATTTTGGTGAAAAATTAACATTTTTCATATAAAATATTGACAATTAAATGCCGCACTATAAGAGATAAAGATTAATTGAATTTGTCTTCATTTTAAATACTTTAAAAAAAAATTCTTTAACGAATTAATATTTCTTTACCTAATCAGAAGAACCTAGCGCAATTTTGCAGAAGGGGTCCCAACCTTTTCCCATCTTTTGTTTTTGATCCAAACATTTACATCTTGATGCAGATGGTCCTAATATTTTACATTCTTGAAACAATCGACCATTTTGAATGGATTTATAGATTCGCTTTTATTTTTAGAGACAATTTTTATCAAATCAAATCAAACCAAATCAAAATAAAATAAAATAAAATTAAAAAGAACAAAAACTCCAACTACTCCACCCAAATCCATCCTCGACCTACCCATCAAGCCCCAAACCACGGGGCATCTCCCACCAACATGGGCGGACCCAGGGGTGGTCTTGGGGGGTCACTTGACCCCCCAATTTTTGAGGTTTTCCGTTTTTTGAAATTTAAAATTTAATCTAAATCAAAATTAACAATTAATTATAATAACATATTTCATGGATTTCTTAACTTTTAAAATTTTATCAAAATTTATTAACAATCGGACTTTAATCCCCACCAATAAATTTGAATTTTCTCTCTTTTTATTGTTATATTGTATTCTTTCCCTCACGCCTTTTATCAAAATCTTAACCCTCCTATTGTTTTAAAATTTATTTATAATTTCTCTACAATTATCACATCTACTACAAATTTTCACTTTTCAATCAAATTTTTAACTAATTAAAATCTAAATTTGCATTTTCTCCTATACTATTTGTGTATATAGCACGTATCTAAATTGATAATATAAAATTTAACTTATATCTAACGAACTGAATTTATTTGACTGATTATTAATATTGAATATTGGTTATATTTTTTTCTTTCGATTATTTGAATTAATTGTTTGTATCAAATACATAATTTTTAAAACATAAATATGCATTTACCTGTGATGAGCAAAATATTAATAAAGAAATATTTTTTAAATATAAATCTACATTTTTTCGGGTCTAATATGAATCATTCAAAAATCAAAAATAAAGTATTCGATTTGTACAAAGTTTAATTGTGCCCCCCAACTCAAATTTTCTGCATCCGCCCCTGCCCACCAAAGACCAGGGACTGCAACTCAACCATCGTCCTAACCTCCGTCAATAATCACTGCCTCCACATAGATTGTAATTGCTATTTTGTTTTGTTTGAAGTTATAGACACTCAAAAACACTAAATTATGAAAATTCAAGCTATATGAAATTATAGTACTTGAATTTACTCGATGTTGGTGAATCAGAAGAAGATTATTTCGCTACCAAGTGATTTTTTCTAAACCTTCAAAATGGAACGAAAAGCGATATGACAGAACTACAAGAGGAAAAATAAGAACCAATGAACATTGGAGGGGTGAAATCCAATATATCATTTGAAAAGAAGTGCATCCCACGCACAAAAATGACGGTCATATTAGACGAATACATCCAAAAGGATCAATGAATGCCAAGAATGAAAAGATTTGGAACCTTCGCTAGAAGATTTTAATGATTGGACCAAAAGGGCAAGATAAGCGAAGATTTAGGATCATTTGAGCCAATTTCTCAAGATTTTATAGATGAAAGCTAAATTATCAAAGTTAAACTAATGAGTATTGTGAACAAATTTAGGAAAATTTGCACAACTAACATAATATTTCAATAGCAAATTGGTTCTCTACCTTTAAAAAGGAGCAAGTCGATCATAAACCTATTACTATAATTACATGATCAATCCTCCATAATGGAAACTATCCTACCTTTGCTTAATTGTCATGTAATCCTCATGAAAACTTATCTAACATTGAACTTTTAGGAAAAAATAATAATAATAATAATAATAATAAGAAAAATTCCTCCTTGACCTTTAAAAAGGAGCAAGTCGATCATAAACATATTACTATATTCACACAATCAATCCTCCATAATGGAAACTATCCTACTTTTTGTTTAAGTATCATGTAATCCTCATGAAACTTATCTACCATTATAAACATTTTGAAAGGCAGATCACGTTAAAAAGTAACACTTGACCTCAAAAGTTAGATATACAAAGGAAAAATGACGTTCTAATGATGATGTGGATAGTTTTAGGTCAAATATTATAATTGTCACCTAACTTTCTTAAAGGTTTTCATATTATCTTTGAACTTTAAAAACTTTTTGGGTTGTTACTATTTTCCCAAATCTTTCATCATTGCTATTAAAATTTGAAAAAAAAAAAAAAAAGGGAAAATTGTGGCAAGGTATCAAACCGTTCATTTAGTAATAGACTTGACACAGACCTTTCATTTGTACCATCGTAGGTATCAAACTTTTAAAAAATTTGCAATTCAAGTCCAAAATGATAGTTTCTGACAATTTGACCTCAGAAACCGTCAATTGACCCTAGAATTAAAAATTTAATAATTTTCTCTAAATAAGACAATGACATTTTGGACATAAAACAGTTTTCCTTAAAAAAAAAAAATCCCCCGTCCTCCTCCTTCCCGAAACCCTTACTTCAAAACTAAAACCATCCTCACCCAACGTCGGTTGCCACTATTGGCACCACCGCCTCAACGCAGAACCTAACACCACCTTAATATCAGGCACCACGACTACAAATAATGTTCGTCGTGGTAAGCGGCGCTCTTGGACACCCGCCTCCAAATTCTCCTATCCTTGATACCTTTAAGAAGAGCCATTAATGCAAAAGAAGCCACCACAAATCCTTTGGTATTTAAAAGGGTATTTAGGTGTCAGTGACTCCAGTAAAACAAAGCTCCGCCTCCAGCAAGAATGGAATTGAATCCCATCTGGGCTTAGCAAAAAATTGCTCAATTTTATCAAAATTTTCAAAACCCATATGCAATGGCCTTAGAGAAAGAGAGTTGTGGGTTTGATTGTGGAATTGGGAACTTTAATAGTGCATTTTAGGAGTGATCATGATTCTGTTGGTTTCCATGGAACATCTACTAAAGCTACATCAAAGAGAAAAATTGGTGAATACCAGGTAGTGCGTGTATGTTTAATTGTGTGTTTTTTTTTTAAGTAATTTATATTGTTTTAGGATTGCGTGTAACTCTAATTGGGCAAAATTGGTGAAATACGCAAAATTGGGGTGAATATTGAGGCGATTGTGTAAACAGAGGTGGCCAGCGACTTGAGTAGGAGTGGTTTTGGTTTTGGTTTTGGTTTTGGTTTTGGGATGAGAGGGTTGGGGGAAGAAGGAGATGTGGGGGGTACTTCTAAGAAGCACCCAGTCAAAATACAAATTTTTCACATTGATCAATTTTTTTTTTGTCATTCATCAAAAGAGTCTTTTGAAGAGTTAACGTCATTTTTGTCCTTATTATGTATTGTAATTACAAAAGCATATCATTTGCTCAAAATACAATAATACACTCTTTAAAAAAATAATAAATCCAAATAATCCCACTTAAATTTCAAAACGAAATCACTTTTCTTATCAGATTCTTCAACACAGTTAAAAAGAAATTTTCTCTTCCATCTGCTTGAACATTGAAATCTCAAACAATTATCAAAAGCTCAACAAAAAAATATTACTCACAGTCGGCACTTGAAATTGGTAAGTATAAATACGTATGTTTAATTTCATTTTAGTTAAATTAGTACATTGTTTGAATATTTAAATCTTATTTCAACATATGATTTTAGAAAAATGAAATATTACAATCTTAAACGGATGTATAATTTTTTTTAGCAAAAACGAGGAAAAAAATCATCTGTTCAGATGCAAAATGTAGAAGACAGTCGACCAAAAGAACGGGTCGTATGTTTAACAGCCGGTCCGAACAGTTCGGGCCGACTGTTAAACATCCGGCTCGGACACCTTTTTTTTTCTTGTGTCATATTTTTTTTCGTTATTTTATTCTCATAATTATAATTTTTTTAATAAATGATATTTCCTAATGCAGATATGAGATCAGCTGCTGTCCCGATTTGTTACTTTGGTGAATTTGAAAATAATGAAAATGATCGATGGGCGTGGAAATGGACGAGTGAAAGATATGGTTGTAGTGCAATTGTAATAACATCAAGTACATCATATGCAAAAATATACAATGAGATACAAAACTTGCTGAAAGTTGATTCCTCTGAGTACGCCATGGAATTGGAATTTCTAATGGGTGAGCATACATCCATTTCAATTCTACTTATAATGGTTACTTCTGAAGTTGAAATGAAGGTTTTAATTGAAATGAACCAAAAACGTGTGATTCCTATTTGCGTAACTTTGATGAAGAAGAATGTCCCCGAGAGTGAACACGGAGATTTCGATGGAGGGGATCGTAGTGTGAATGAGTTTTGGGACACAGTGGAAATAGTGCGTGATGATGTTGTAGCTGTTCCAGAGACAGTTGATCCTCACCATGATCTCACTGTTACACATAAAATTTGCTCAGTAGTTCAAGACAACGAAAGAGATAATGACTTTACAAATGAGAATTTGATTGCTT